ACATCAGGGGAATCGCAGATGCGTTATCGGCCTTTTAAAAAGGAGTAGGCTATTTTCTTGACGGTCCCTAAGTCGTATCGGTCCGGAAAAATCGCTGGTGGTAATCGATGTATTATAAATCTACGTCAAGTTTTCAGGCGTTTAACTAACGGTTTTCAAGCAAAGGCAAAGGCAAGCAAGTGGTATTTTTAGATCACTTTTAAGTTGGTCGCGACCGAAGACCACACAAGGCGACATCTCACATCCCCAGTTTCTAATAAAGCACAATCACGACGGTCGTTAGAGCTAACATTTTGCGGCGTAACGCGTAACTAATCACTTCACATCTCCACAATCACAAGCGGGCACCGAGACGAATCGACTGTCGATGTCCAAGGATAGCTTAGCTTTTGTTTTTGTTCGTTTGTTAATGATAGTTTTGTGTAAATGTAACCAGCTTCAAAAATCATTCCACTGCTTCTAAATTACAAAATAAATTTATTACGTGGCATGAAACTTCTATGTAGGTTATATATATATATATACATACATACATACATACAACGCCTGCTATGTCTAGAATTACGCATTTCATTTTAAGTGAGATCTGCCAAAAGGTATGCCAGAAGAAACTACAGATATCTACTAAAATTATTTTTGGGCTTATTTTTAAATGAATACCGGTTATTTTATAGTTGGAAATTCCTTATGGTTTTTTTTATGGACCTTCCGCTGCGAGGGCAACATTAAAGTTATACCAGACTCCTACCGACCAAATACCTCCACAGTGGTAACCATCACCGTAACCCGGGATCTCCGTTTATGACGCAACCGGGGCACCTCTAATCACTTTGCTCAATTAAGCACGGAGTAGCATTTATTACCTCGAGCACCCTCGCAGTGCTATCACGACGTCTCGGGACCATATCCGAGTCATCGTCCTCTTCGGAAATGACACCAGTCTAACCTTACGCACCATAATAGTAAATGCCACTGTAGTAAAATAAATTTCATCGCGCATAATTGCTATCTCAGCAATGAGTATGGTAATTTTAAACGTGGTAGAGCCATACTGCAACTATATTAATTGTATAGTTGTAGCACGAATGGGTCGGCTCGACCGAGGAAGTACCACGCTCTCATAGAATACCAGCGTAAAATAGCAGCTAATACTGCTGTGCTTCGTATGGTGAGTATAGAGAACCGGAGACCGTTTTTACTGGAAAAGAGTCTAGTCCTCACGGCTGACAACGCATCTGCATTTTGATTCACAAACGATACGATGACGATACATCTAGATGTCTATGGGCCACAGCAACCACTTACCATGAGATGAACTGTGTGCTCGTTTGTCACTCTTATCCTATAAAAAAAGCGATTTAGGCTAAGTCCAGAGTGATGTTGTGACCTCTGTCGTTTAGTTAAAGTAAAGAAATATAAGGAAAATCCAGTTTCTAAAATATTTAGATAGTGCCTACCGTCGCTGGTATGAACACTTTAGATCTATAATTTTACACAATAGTTATTTAAGAGCCGTGGTAGCGAAGTGCTCCCTGTAAAATTCACAGTAACAAAGAACCCGAGTTCTTTGTTACTGTGAAATTTACAGGGAGCACTCGCCGGCGCCAATGAAATTGTTAATTTCAATTTTAAGTGCCGATTTATCACGTGTTCGGCGGCGAAGGAAAACATCGTGAGGAAACCTGCATGTGTGAGAAATAAGAAAAAAAATATTTCGAAGATTTCCTTGCCTTAAACCTACTTTCTCAAAAATGAGACAGGAGGTCTGTGCCCAGCAGTGGGACGTATGTAGGCTGTAACTTTTAATAGTTATTTAACCAAAGTCACAAGGCTTCTGGTCTAACCATTTTATATATCTACACTTTTCTAACAAATTAACTTCTCCCGCTGTGAAATCTATACAAATCTATACAAATAAATAAAATTGAAGTGTCTGTTTGTAATGTCAAAATTACAGCTTTTTACTAATAGCATATACAAGTATATACGGTACTTATAACATAAAAACACAATTTTTAAAATGTTTGTCTGTCTGTCTGTCTGTTTGTTCCGGCTAATCTCCGAAACGGCTAAACTCCGATTTTGACGGGACTTTCACTGGCAGGTAGCTGATTTTATAGGGAGTAAGTAACTTAGGCTACTTTTATTTTAGAAAAAGAATTAGGGTTCCACCAAAACATAAAAACCCTAACACGCGAGCGAAGTCGCAGGGAACAGCTAGTCTGACATATATTTAACCACATTTTAGGAATGTGGTTAAATATATGTAGGGCCGCCCTGGTGGCAAAAAAGTCGTGCCCTCATTATGCACGATTAAATTTATTAAGCTATACAATGGCAACACCGTCGCCTAATTACGAAAACTAAATAAAATATTACTAAACAAAATCCTTGCATTCTCTTAAGTTTGCGTGTTTACTGAAAATTGGTTACACTGACCCTGACGGAAACGCCCTTCACCACGCTTTTCAGTTATCTATGCAAAATAATATACAGAGAAATCTATACATGTAAATAAAATTGAAACGTCTGTCTGTCTGTGATACCGAAATAACTGCCCTTAAGAGCTGAGGGAATCATTTGCATGTCATTAAGATATGAATAAGCATTTTTGAAATTTTTGTCTGTCCGGGCTTATCTTTGAAATGGCTGAAGCTACTGTAATGAAACTTGAAGAACGGATAGAGATCAATGTCAGGAGTGATCTAGACAATATTTTATCCGAAAACCGGAAGAGTACCGGTAGAGAACCGCAGTCCCTTATTATTTGGATACGAGCCATTTTAGTCCTCAGCGGTGAAAACGCATCTGCATTTTGCATCTTAATCAATGATAAATGTAGATGTCTATTGGTCACAGTATCCACCTACCATCAGGTGAACTGTGAGCTCGCTTATCACCCTTATTCTCTAGAAAAAGGAGTACTGCAAAGAGTAATCAACATTTAATGAACAAACTCTATCCATGTACAATCCCAATTTTACGTAGTAGAGCCACGTTGCATTTACGTGGTAGAGCCACGTTGCAACTGTATTATGGTTGTCGCACGTATGGGTCGGCTCGACCGGTGTAGGACCACGCTCTCACAGAATACGGGCGTACAATAGCAGCTTAATGCTGCTGTGTTTCGTATGGTGAATGTAGAGAACCCGAGACCCTTTTTACTGGGAAAGAGGCATTCCATCTTAGTCCTCAGGGGTGACAACACATCTACATTTGGATTCCAAATTGAGGATAAATGTAGATGTCTATGGGCCACAGCATCCACTTACCATCAGGTGAACTGTGTGCTCGTTTGTTACCCTATTCTATAAAAGAAATCTCATGGTCACGTATAAAAAGAAGCAAGAAGGAAGTGTATGTACATTTTGGCAATATTTCCCACCAGGACAGTTTCTTACCCTATGGCTTGAGTACAATTATCACATATAGATATAGGCTGCAAATTGCGACCTAGCAGCTTTGGACACAGTAGAGAGGCGTCCTATAATGGTTATTGGTGCCCTTTCATTGTTATCCCTGACGACTACGATAGTATGCCTTGTGATTAGTGAAATGAGTATCCATTTCCCTACACAAAGCATACGTAACATAGCTGCATTGAACTGCTATTTCAAGATTACTCATTATGTGCAAGACTCGTCCTTTAGGTCGAGTCGCTTCAAGCAACAATGTTTATAATGAACAATAATACCTTTGGTATATACAATTGTATTATTGTTCATTCGACTTCATCGTATTATTGTTCAACGACTGCCTCGATGGTATAGTGGTTGTAGTAGTGCGACGGCTGATCATGAGTTCCCGGGTTCGAATCCCGGTTCGGGCCAAAAATAAAAACAGTTATTGAGATTTTTCCGTCGAGAAATTGTCAGTAGCTGCCCGCATTTAGGTTGGTGTGTCTTGCCTCGGAAATTACGTAAAGCCGTTGGTCCTGCGCCTGATCTCTCTCAGGTCGTGTCGATTTACCGTCCCATCGGACTATGAGAGTGAGGGAATAGAGAGTGCACCTGTGCTTGCGTTTACACTTGGGCACTATAATCCTGTCCTGCGCCGATGGCTAGTCTCTGTTGAGGCTGACCGCCGTGACCGAAATTCGATGTGGAAGAGAACATTATTATTGTTTACTTTTCAGTTTGTTACTTTTCAATTATAAAAGCTTTTACAAAAATTTACTTCGCAAATATCCGCGTTATAAAATAAAATGATGTGTCTTACCACTAGGTAAGACACATCATTCAGTATGAAGAAGCACCTCCCGCCCTCCCTCAATTGGGTGCACTATCCCCGTCACCAGTAATCCCAGCACCGCTACTTCCAACACCACTACACTAGGCAAGACACACCACTGACGATAAAACGACACGTGTTTCGCCTCTACACGAGGCATCCTCAGGTGATATAGACTCTACGGTGGCTAACCGCTAAGACTTTTCAATTACCTTTGACCATCTCGTTGTCCACTTTAATATATTATAGCGTACGCTTAAAACCGTTGCATCAAAAAAGTAATTTGTCCAGGGTCTTGTCTTAATATCTAGGGATCGGGGATATGCCGTGAGCGAAATGCTTAGCGCGTAAATTATCGACAGGAATACTTCTCTGTATATCTAAGGACTTTTGTCCTGTACGGAAATGTCAATCCCATCGAAACTTAACTACTTACTATACTAACTACGTATATAAATCATAAAAATATTTACATATAATATAATAACATATGGTGGCGCAGTGGCTTAGCAATGAGTTGCTGCGCTGGGGGTCACGGATTCGAATCCCGCACGAAACAAGTATTTGTATGACCTATAAATAATTGTTCCGGGTCTGGATTTTTGTCCTTGTGCAATTTGTGTTTGTAAACTGCCTCCACGGTACAAGAGAAATACCTAGTGTGGGGGTAACGTTTTTTTAAAAAAAATCAAAATCAAATCAAAAATCAATTGTGCTGACAATTTACGCTGGTTTTCTGTAAGAGTTTGGTGGAAAAATTAAATACGCACCTTTTTCCTGTACTTTGGGTTTCATCTCCCTCGTTGAAGACCTGGATTTAGTCAGCCTGCTCAGAACTGCCTGTCTAGATTGATCTGATATCCTTCTGCTCTGATGATTGACTGGTTTTGTTCTTTCTTCCTTCGACACGGGCGGTTCAGACATCCTAGTGTTTACGTTACGCTCTTTGTTACTCACTCTGCTTGTATTTCTGACCAATCCTGGCCCGAATTTCCGCTGCATTTCAGGGGTGTTGGGGCATCTAGGTGAATTGGCAGGGGCAACAGATTTCAGATCGGGCGAGTTGATTCTGCCTCTATGGGTAGTCCTCTTAAACCTCAAATCTTGCGATTTATCGAAGGACCCGTTCTCAGATTCGTCTGACAGATAATAATCCTTGTACTCCTCCGAATGTCCACTCGATCGTCTCGACACGATTCTCCCGACATCCATGTAATTATTATTTCTGTTGACCGTGTTGAACGAGCTAGAGCGTTTAATTGATATGCCAAAAGCGGCGTTGTTGCTTGTATGGACGGGTTTGAATTGCTTGCTGCCATCGCTGAAGACGCGTTGATGGACCTTCTTAGCGTCGCTATGGTGACGCGTTTGGTCGATTCGGGTGTAAGATTTCGCGTCTAACGCGTTATTCTTAAGGACTACCTTAAGGCACACTGCTGGGTTTGCATTGTTGAAATCTGTATAGAATTCGTTCGGATGCTTTCCGTCGAAGCCTTTGTGCCGCGAGTGTGATTGTCTGTGAGGTGATCCTTTGTACTGAGGTTTATTGGACAACGTTTTATCATCAGAACTATTACTGCATAGCCCTCTTTCTGATGATGGGCTGTTCATGTTAGAATCGTGCCTTCTGTCTGTCTCCAGTGACCTGGTGACGCTATTAATGAGTATTTTAGTGCTTTCTGGTAGTTTGTTAGAACCGGTGATGACGTAATGATTTGGACTCCTCAGGGGACTGCTATCGCCAGAGTTGTCTTTCCTTCTAAGGCGATAGTTTAAGGAGTTTGATCTGCTTAACTGGGACAGAGGCAGCCGTGAAACTGTCGTCTTCTCGCTTATGAGGCTGGAGGTGAGCTGTGACGGAATGTTGGAGAAGTTGCTCGCCCTGGATGATTGCAGCTTCGCTTGCAGGTTGGTGATGGCGTTTTGTGTCTTTAGCAAGTAAGATTCAGTGTCTTGTGGCGGTATTAAGTCCTGTAACAATAGAGAAATGGGAATTATTTTTGGGTTATAATATTTACCTATACATCTGCACATGTACGTGGTAGAGCCATGCTGCAGATATATTAGTAGTATAGTTGTAGCATGAATGGGTCGGCTCGACCGGGGAAGGACCACGCTCTCACAGAATACCAGCGTAAAATAGCAGCTTAACACTGCTGTGTTTCGTATGGTGAGTGCAGAGAACCAGAGACCCTTTTTACTGGAAACGAGGCATTCTATCTCAGTCCTCAGGAGTGACAACGAATCTGAATTTTGATCCTTAATTGAGGATAGATGTAGATGTCTATGGGCCACAGCATCCACTTACCATCAGGTAAACTGTGTGCTCGTTTATCACCCTTATTCTATAAAAAAAAATTTACTCGACCACAGCGCCACCTATTGTGTGCTAGTATAGGTATGAATCATTGTCTTGTCAAAACAATATTTTTTTTTATAGGATAGGGTGACAAACGAGCACACAGTCCACCTGATGGTAAGTGGTTGCTGCGGCCCATAGACATCTACATTTATCCTTGTTTGCGAATCAAAATGTAGATGCGTTGTCACCCGTGAGGACTAGGATGGAATGCCTCATTTACAGTAAAAAGGGCCTCCGGCCACCTGCACTCACCAAACAAAACGCAGAGGTAAACCTCTACTTCACGCTGGTATTCTGTGAGGTCGTGGTACCACCCCGGTTCGAGCCGGCCCATCCGTGCGACAGCAAAAGCTGCCGCCTGGCTCTACCACTGTTAATATGTGTATATGACCTCAATCATGACAACAACTTTAACTGGAAAATGGAAAGTATTTTGGAGATATTTTACTTTTATTCAAACTAATTGATTAGTCTTAATACGCGTGTACACATTTAGTAAACGGTGAAACTAAAACGAGCCGATTCTATTAGGTGAAACTATACCAAGTCGGTTTATCTACGAAACTGCAATTTTTGATACACAAATTATAATTTGTTGGATATGTGCAGATAGATAGATAATTATTTATTGCACACACCAAAAGACAAATAAGAGCGAAAAAAATTACAAAATGTTAAAAGTAGTAGGTACATTGAGCGGTCCTATCACTAAAAGCGAATTCTTCCAGACATCCCGTTTCTCATGTTAAAAGTTTAAGTTAAAGTTACAGCCTATATACGTCCAACTGTTGGGCACAGGCCTCCTTTTATTTCTGAGAGGGTTTTAGGGCAAGGAAACATCCGCCGCGCTGCATTGGCGAACTTCACGTGTACAAGTTCACATGCAGGTTTCCTCACGATGTTTCCCTTCACCGCCGAGCACGTGATAAATTAGCACTTAAAATTACAATTAACAATTTCATTTGTGCCGGCGGGGATCGAAACACGGGTTGCTCGCGTATATAGCGGGCGCTTAGCCCTCTGAGTTACCACGGCTCGTTCTCACGTTATGACAATAATATGTTCTAGATCTAAGTAATATTTATTAGTCTTTGGGATAAGCAGACGTACATAATGTAAGGCAGAAAGGTCACAAAATTTGTGGCTTGTGCAGGACAAAGGCCAATTTAAGCTGAATTTCAACGCCGCAATTCTTTAGTTAGATACATTGAGTTATATGTACTACGTACTAGAGAAGCTATTCTAAACAAAAATTGTGCGCTACTCTATGTCTTCGCGCATGCGCGGGAGATAATAGACTCGCGTATGCGCGAAGACTTTAATTTGATATAAAATAAGATATTAATATAAGATAACTATAAGAATTTAATATAAAATACTCTTATTTTAATCTAAACAAACATATTTCTAAATAAAATGTAATAATAACCATAGAATTCACATATCTTCAATTTACGCAATATTTAGTTTAGTGTACGGATTGCAGTACACTTCAGTTGAACATAGTCAATGTTCGGAATGAGAAATCTAGTGCGTAGTACATATATATCGATGGTTAGATAATATAACTCCTTAGTCACTCTGTTACCCTAGTACAATAACGTTACACAAACGCATATAGGCCCTAAATCCACTTTAAATCTACGTCGCGACAGCAGCTATACGGGATTTGAAACCTCAGAAGTGTTCCGTCTACGGCTCTACCTTCCAAAACGTCTTACGACAAATATGTAGAAAGAAAAAAAACTACTTTATATATGGACTACTATTCCGCGTGGGAATCCGTCTGGTACCTATTTTTGCCACCGATCAGCAGTATAATTGCAGGCTGTGAGGCACAGGTGTCATCTTATTCCATATAGATGACAGCGCATCTGTAGCCTTGGACTGCAGTACCCACTTACAAACAGGTGGACTGTAAGTTCGTTTGCCACTTCAGTTTTATAAAAAAAATATAAAAACTTCGTATGTATTGCACTGCATAGAAAATAAAAAATAAGCACGTCGGTATCCTTTTATTGTGAAATATCAGTATTATATTATATATTAGCATTATATTTTATGTGTGTAATAACCTAAATTAAAATATTTATCAACCTATGAACTGTAAAATTATATAAAATTTTTTTTAGTCAAAAGCATACGCAATCATACAGCCTTTTACGTTCCAATTCAATTAAGTTATTAATAGTTACTAATGATCGTCATTAACTTCGCTGTATAAGATAAGTCTACAACTGTACGCTTTTACCACATAATAATCTAAGAACCTAAAGCACCCGAATGGGCTTCCCGCAAACTGAAGGAAAGCGTAATCTTTTTATAGATACGATTCACTTTTTCATCCTCGTCGAATTTTAAGAACACTTGCGACCCCTCTTAGATAAATCAATCTATCCCGACTAGAATGTAGTGTCGTCACTAGGCATGAGACTAAGTCAGTGCGCTTCACCATCTTCGGCTGCATCACCACTTAACACAAAGTGGGATAGCAGTGAAGCACTGATTGGGAATAGTAAAAAAAAAAGATCCCTCCGAAATTAAATTCCAAAATAATCATTCTCCAACAAGCAATGACATAATAATTATACGAAATTTCTTTTTACTCCCAAAGCGGCATATGAACCCGGAACTCGATAGTACGGCAATGAGACGACTAATCTTGACACGCTGACCCTATCTATTAGGTGCTTTCACTTAACCTTGGTAGACGCAGTGTCAACGTTATGGCGCCGAAGAAGGTCGACACCATTCCAAAAATGGAAACCCGCTATATTGGTCAAGTATAGGCCATCGTCCATTTTCATGATTGGCGTTAGAGCCCATGATAATATAATAGAGATATATATATACTAGTAATCAGTCCCGACTTCGTACGAGTGATTTCTGGATCGATGGATTGAGGGAATCCTGAGCAGATAGCTAGTCTCTGTTAAGACAGGCCGTCGTTATAGAAATTTGGTCTGTAATAATATTAAGATTATTAAAGAAAAAAAAAATGTTACGTTAACAAAAAAATATTCTTCTTTTAGATTCGCGTCACTGCTGGCCCAGACTTGCTCACCGTTATTGCCCACCGCCAGAGTTAAACGAGATGGTCATACCACTATTTATCGGAGGCCATCATGATTTTTGTCAAATCCGATAGTAATCGATCCAATTTAATTTGTCCGAGTCATCCACAAAGTAATCGGTCTCTATAAGGTAGCGTAAAGCGACACCCACTTTTGCACTACCATAAGGTTGAAAACAATGAGGTCACCTACCATTCACGATGAATCAGTGATCAATATGCAAGTTGATTTGATCGCTCTAAGGCTTTTGTGGGTTGATAAACGCGTGTGAGGAATTAAAGGCGTAATAAATGTGCACGAAAACGCGGTAAATTAATCCTTATCAGCGGTGAAGGAAAACATGGTGAGGAAACGTGCATTTTTTATATAGACTAAGAGTAACAAACGACAGAACGCAGAACAAATATTTAACTGCACACAGTTCACCATATTGTAAGTGGATGCTGTGGTCCATAGACATCTACATCTATTCTCGGTTAAGCATCAAAATTAAGAAGCGTTGTCACCCCTGATGACTGAAATGGAATATCTCGTTTATATGTAAAAATTGTGTCCAGTTCTTTACAATAACCACACAAAACGCAGCAGCATTAAGCAGACATTTCACTATAAATATATAACTATCAATATATACATATGTAAGTTGTATGTATTTCCAAATAACTTGCGTACACCCTTACCATTTCTCACAGGTCATTATATCCTCTGCTAGGTGATTGCCTGATAGAGATCGCTTGTAAGCGATATGGCCACCAATTGTACCTTCGTTTTTATTGGTGTACCTACATACACTAAAATATATTTCATTCATTCATTAATTTCACGATTGTATTTTGTGAGACCGTCGTCCTTTTGCGGTCGATCCGACTCGGTAGTAACCTATACCTAACCATTAATTGATGAAATTTTTTAAAATAGCTCAAAACCAAAATTGGCGGCAAAATTGTAGATGATCGAAAAATAAGACAAATATGGCGACGCTTTATGATACCACGAGAATAAATCTCGTGAGTCAATGTGTACAGTGAGTCATATCTCCGCGTTGCCTCAATCGGGAGGCTATCTTTAGAGTTCCTTAATAGTTGGATCGAATAGAACCCTACTGTCGCCATTACGACTACCAACAACAACCAACAACAAGTTTAGTTCTATATTTATTTAAAATGGTGTATTGAAAGTTTAAGAGGATACTTTGTAAATGAATCGTAGTTTTGGGGGCGCGGCTTAGTCCGCGTCGATGAAACTCACGGATGATTGAGGGAGTGTCAAAATGAATGTGATGCAATTACTTCATATAGCCAAATTATGAAGTAGCTATACCGAGCACGCGCTCGCAAATAACATATGAAGAACAAAACAACATTTTTTTGTGTTTAACAAAACGTTATGGCTTAAAAACTGGTTTATGTAAACTTAGATATGATTATATACTATGCTTTTAAAAAAACCATAAACTAATTCGTAAAAATATAGTGCTTAATTAGAAACTACTTCTAAAAACCACAAAATTTTCGAGATACCACCTTAATAAAGTA